GCATAGGCTGCGTTTATCTTTAGTGAGATCTTGATATTGCGCAGGAGAGATGTTTTATAAAGTAGAAATTCTTTTTGAAGATTGAGGAGGATGACCGGTTACCAAGCGACTGTTGTAAGCAGAAATGGATGAGTGGATTGCTTAATTAATGATGAGTGACATCTCATGATCGTGTGTTTTGTAAATATCGTTTGTACATAATTAAACCGCTGATGTTTGTGCGTTTGAATATGAAAAAATTTAACAAAAAAAAGCACAAAATATTCGAAATGTAGTATATATTTGAAGAATAAGATAAGTCTCTATTTAAGATTAATTTCTTTAATTTTTTCAGTTTAATTTTTATAATAATAAAAATTATATTTTGCATTTATAAATATCTGCAATCTAATTATATGTATATGATAATAATATAGTTATGTGTAAATTGTTTATGCATTTATGAAAAATTTAAATGTAGAAAAATCTACTAAAATGCATATGAAATAGAAAAAGTAAAATATTAAAATATTTTAATAATAATTGATTAACAATGAAAAATAAATTAATGATTGAATAATAAAAATTATATTTGATATTTGTTTTATCAAATTTTTCTTTTTGATCTATGTTTTGTTAGAATATGTTTATAGAAAGTCTGTTTAAATTTTTTTTAGAAGTGTTCTGCTTTAAGAAAGCAATTATCAATATCTGATGTGATTTTATAGGAATATAGGAATCTATATTTTCAATGATGTTTAAATTTTATATAATATAGTTATAGTAGTATATGTGAATTCATGTAAATATGATACTTACAAGAAACAAAATTATAATCATAATATTAATCAAAATTATATTCAATCTCACGAATGAGCGTGAATTAATAATAAAGATAATGAAATTTATCCCAGGCAATCGATTATTCCAATGATTATCTATAACATCACATATAGAAAATTTTCTACTATTTGTTTCAATTTATTATTTTATATTAATTAATAATTATATTATTTATATTAATTTTTCAATATATTGATAAATTTCAAATACAAAAACTGCACTCAATATTTAAAATTCTTTATATACTTATTCCTTATATAATCTTATATTATCAACAATATATTTCAAGAATTTTCAATGAACTATACAAAGATAATCATCTTTGTTACAACTTTTAATCAAGCTGTTTTCAATTGTTTTCAATTATTTTAAACATATTGATAAATTTGTAAAAACTCAATACTTACAATTTGAACATGTACTCAATATTTAAAATTCACATCATTAAAAAACAAAAAAGATCTCAAAGATAATCATATTCTTTCAACAAACTATTCCCTATTCAACTTATTAAAAAAAAAAAAACTACACTCAATATTTAAAATTTCTTATTTCTAAATATCTTATTCTACCGTCAAAGATCAAAGTATCCGAGCAACTATATATTCTACATCTAATAAATTCTACTTAAAATTTACCTTCACACTTAAAAAAAATCTCAAAAACTTTTATAATCTTTACAACTTCCAATAAATTATCTTCGACTGAATCTACTTAAAATCTAGGAAAGAAAAAAAAAAAAAAAGAAAAGAAAAAGCAGCAGGGGGTCACCTATTTATCATTTCAACATTTCAACACACGTTTCTAAAGGACAAACCATAAGAGATCGGCGTTCCTCGGTACGATTTCACCGGTTCCCTTCGAGACAGATCGCGCACACCTATCGCTACCAAGAGTGTGCATCGCGTGGTGGGGTCCGCGAGAGAGCGAGGCCAGAGTTGGCAGCCCTGCTCGCTGGCTACGTTCTCTCGCCCGTGGTCTGTCAGAGTCCACAGTCCTAACTCGGCCTCAGGCTACGATAGATCGTATCTTACGTCCGTTCGATCCTCGCCGTGAATTCATCTTCGCGCGCGTCTTCAACTCGATCAACTGACCTCCACTCTTTCAACTTGCCACCGATCGAACGACCTTTCCAAGTGTTCACCTTCGCCTTCTCTCTTGTGCCTTCTCTATCGATGCATAAGTATCGATAACATTTCCTCAGAGACAGTTCTCTCCTTCTATCCCACTTTCGAGTGCATTGGTGAACCGTTCAAGGATACTTTTGCCGTTTCAAGGATACTGGGATACCATAACGAAAGATCGGAATTTAGGAGGTAAGAGAACACGTGGTTTCACACTCAGCCTTCTAGGGAAGCTGGCCTTCACTCTTGAGAAATCTTGCTTCTGGCTGGAAACAATTTCGAGAAATTGAAAAAGATTGTGTGAATCGAAGATTTTAAAATTATTTTTTTAAATTATTTTTTTTAATTTGGGATTAGGTTTCTTTTTTTTTTTTTTTTTTTTTTTTTTTGATAAAGCTTGTGTCGTTCGTTGATGGATATATGTAGATCTCAAAAGAAAGAAATCAGAATAATTCAGAACTGAGAATTTCTTTTTTTTTTTTTTTTTTTTTAATAAATTTTTCTATCTTTTGTTAATGATTGATAGATCTTGAAAGAAATCAGTGCAAATAATTTGGAATATCTGAGAATTTTTTTTAATAAATTGTTTGCTGATTATTTGATTGATGGCTGGTTAGATTTTGATGATAGTAGTATATCAATTTTGTATAAACCTCTGCGAAGAATTGCTGTGAAATTTCGTTTTAAGAGGAAATGGAAAACGTTAATCAGTACGAAAGCTTCTTATCGCGTGATACAATAGGATAACTACAACAATTTTGATGTCGATCTAAATCTAGTTTCTTGATAATACGTAGGTACGTAACATGGCCATTTATGTATTTTATACTTAACTATACTTTCTTTGTAACTCGAACGAATAATCTATTTATATATTCAATTGTGTAAATGTAATTTGATTCTTATCTCGTATCGCGTATCTCTTCTTTTTTTTCTTCTTCTTCCTCTTCTAAAATTCCACTTCCGATGCATTTAATGGCCGACCCATATTTTTACAAAAATCTGAATAAATCCCTAGAAATCAAGTAGAATCTCTGATCTCGAGACAGGCAGGGTCACTCGATGGGGTGCAAGAGACGGTTTTGTTTTCTTTCATGATAAATGGTAATAGGTTATCGCATATTTCTTCGTCTCTGAAATGAATTTAACAGAAATGCAGTAATTAAGTTGATCTGTATGAAAATTTAAACTGATTGAATTACGTTTAATTTAATATAAAATATAATATATAAATACGTTTTATAGATAGAAGTTAATGCATCGTAACATAGGAAAAGAATTGATAATAAAATTGAAACTTTTTATCAGTAATAACGTTTCATCGTGAGCAAGTAATATTTCGAAGTAATTGGAGGATAGATACTTACTGACCGATTTGAGGAAACATAATAACATATATAACCTCACATTTAACGATTAATAATTATATTTTACGATTATATCCATATTGAAAGTTCAATTTCTATAGTAAATTATTATTTTTAAAATATATATCTGCATCTTATCGTAAAATTAAATTGGTAAATAAGTATATATTATTAACTTAACATGTTCAATTTTACAAAATTATTCATTCTTCGTAATATGAATGAGGAAAGAGAGGAAAGAGAGAAAAATTTTAGCGACAGATTCAATAGTAAACGAAAATGTTACGATGACTGTTAGTTGGTTGACATACCTCCTACAACTACTTGCTTTATTCATTCATCACTTTTCTTCTTTGATTGTTCGTTTGTCACTTACATAGCGATAGGTGTGACAAATACATTTATCCATCAAAACGCTGTTTTCCTTTGATTGGAACATTGCATCTTCTGTCATATAAATAGTAGTTGTCGTTTTGATTTTATTTTTATCGCGTGAATGGAAAATATTTTCCGTCTGTGAAACGAGATATTATTGGTCAATACGTGTTTGTGCGATTGGATCGGCACGTAAATCACGATTAGTCATACTATCGAGACATACTTTCCAAATTTCTGATTTAGAAAGCGAGTAATTTTTGAAAAATTATCATCGATTTGCATTCTGTAATCAGATAATTAATATTTTTTTAATAGTAAATAATTTTAATATGAAATAATAAAAATCTATTTTAAATGATAATTTAATTTAATGCATAATATTTATAAATAAATATTTTAAAAAATTCATTCATTCAAAAATTCAAGTTGATAATAATTTAACATTTTCATACCATTTCATACCATATAATGAAACTTGAAGTTTGCATGAAAATTAGTATTGTCATTTCTTTAAGGCATGTACGAAGTTTATTATTAGATCTCTTAAAGGCCATCCAACGTCGTATTGGTTTTGTTCCATAGTGAGTTATTTTGGCTGTAAATAGCACCACTGTAAATACGAATGTTCCATTTCAAGGACAAATCAACTCTACAACTCTTCAATTTTCTTAAGATCACGATGACGTTGGATATTCTTGTAAATAGGTTCACGATTACATGCTGCTTTTGATTAACATGTTGCACAATACTTATCCAGGCCACGACAGGAACTTAAGGTCGTACAGGTATTATATCTACTCACAATCGAGCATAACGAATCCAAGATACACAAGTGTAATGTACATAAAACTCCTTCATTCAGAATTTTCGAATTTTAAAAAATTTATTTCATATATAAAAAAGAAAAAGAAATGGTAGAAAAAATTTATCAAAGACGTCTATAATTACAATTAATTAAAGATTATACTTTTATATTCTCTAATTGGCTTTAATCTATAATCGTGTGATTATACCAAGTAACTAGTTTAAAATACGAAATTATAGCATAGTTCTGTTTTCTATCGATTGGAATTATACCACTATGAATAAAAATAAATGGAAAAATTTAATGTAAAAGATTCGAAAAATATTTTTCTATTCTTAAAACACTTTTTCGTAAGATATATTTTCGTTGCAAAAATAATTTCACTTGTCTTGAAACTATTTTTATATATGTGTATATGTGTATAATGTGAATCAGAAATATTTGATCAATTCTTATTTCTTTTTTTTTTTTTTTTTTTTTTTGATAAATATTTTTTCAGCGTAGATATGAACTCTTCCTTGAAATAAGAAGACGTGAAATAATAAATATTTTTTTAGGAGTGTAACGTTCAATCGTCTCAAAGCATCGATTTGCCATTACTTAATTAAGATGATACTGATTGGAAGTGATTGCTGGTATTAAGAGATGATTGATATAATAGAAATTCATACAAGTGACGCGTGAATTGGCTTATAATAGATTGTTAAATATTGTAACAGAAATATAATCTACAATCATCTAAATGTTAAATTAGTAACAGCAAGTATGCTCGGTGTACACTTGTTAATAGATTTTTTAATTTGCCATTATTTCATAGGTGTGTCTAAAAGAATTTTGTTAATTAAACGTGGATTTTATATATCTTATCTTTGCTATAAACTCACGAATTTACGATCTTTGGTATTCCTGTGCAATTTCTATTATAACTTCGATAAATTAATTAAGAATTTATAACTGATGAATATCTGAAAAGATAAATGATTTTTAATTCTCATGAATTTTAAGCATCAAAAAATATCACATACCTGAATATTTACATCTCAGTAAACTTATATTATTTTTTCTTTTTTTTTTTTACAGTTGCCATAAATTCTAAGCATTAAAGAATATCATATGCTTGAATATTTACTCAGCATACTTGTAATACTTTTTCTATATTTTTTTTTCTATTTTTTTATTTATCTTTTTATATGTTACAAAATATATAAGTTTCTCGATTAATTGCTATTTTAATTACAATTATCAGTGATAATATACAGCGATTTGATGATTTTTCTAGAAACAGAAAAGCATTAAAAATAATTCATATTCAAATTACCAATGTTTCATTGATATTTTTATATAGTTATATATGTAAGAAAAATGTAAAAATAAAATTATTTAATGAATTTTAAAAAAGATTTTACGATTATTCAAATATGCAACACTTCAATACGAAGTCCAATTGATAAAAAGCAGAGTATTCAATATATTCATAATAAATTTCCAGCTATTTACAAAAAAATCAAATGACGTCATTAAAGCTATTTTTTATGACTTGTTTCATTTATGTCTTTGCATTAATTAAACTAGTTTTATTAGTTATTTCTTAAGTTTCGTTTTCTTGGTTGATGAAAACATTTAACAATATGTAGAGAATATATTTATTAATATATTATTATTATTAATATATTATTAATATATGTAGAGAATATATTTATAGATTTTTATGAAATAATAGTTTAAAAACATTTTATTCTGATCTTTTTATTCTGATTTCATTAATCAGAATAGAAATTATTATTGTTACAATAAAGTTTTTAATAAAAATCAAAATTTTTTATTATATATATTTTTATTGCAATTCTAAGTCATTATTTAAATATATATGATAATAGTTCGCTTATTTGTCACTTTTATCTTCATTACTTCTCTAAGAAAAAAAATGTAATGTAAGTAGCACAATTCTTTCATTCTTATATGTTGATAAGCTTGTTAAAATAATATAAATAATGTATTTTATAATTCATTGATTGCAACACAAGGAGATAAGATTAAGATAATATTTTACCTCATTTTATATTTTTTTTCTTTGAGAACGTAACAGATTATACAATTATAAAAAGTGAATTTAAAAATCTTATGATTTTATTCGATTTCGAAAAAATAAAGGATCACAGTACAAGTTAAAAATTAATGAAATGCGAAGTAACGCATTATTACTAATTTGAAAATGACAGGTGATAAATTGAAAATTTTCCAAAGAATACACGTATCTTTCAATAAGTGACATTACGTGTAATTATCACGTTTTAAATAAATTAAAAATTTTCTTCAAATGATTGTAGATTTTATGTATGTTTTTCTTATCGTTATTTTTATCATTCTGTGTTATCATTATTATATATGATAAACAGAGAATAACGCAATTTTATCTCTTTTTTTTTTGCATCGTAGAAATTTTTAATATCATTTATATGACAGAAAATATAAGTTAATATAGGTATATACATATATAGGTTAAGTGTCTGAAACATCTGTAGAAATAGTAGAAATAAGATTGTGAATAATTTTTTGAAATATTTCATAAATTCTTTATATTTTTAATCTTTATTTAGAATTTTTAAAGAGATCATCGATTGAAATACAATAGAAATTCTATATTTGTCATTAATAAGAAAATCGAATTTGATATATAGAATTTATTATTGAATTAAAAAAAAATAATTGGTTCTTAACCTCAAATTAACTTAACGAATAAACAAAAAATAAAAAAATTCATTTTTATTGAGAAATCATTTATATCATTTATAAATTAATATTAATAATTAATTAATATTAATTAAAAATGTTTTATTATGTTGCGTAATCAAAACAAATAAAAATTTGAGTAAAAATGATTATTTAAAAAATTAATAATGATTATGATACCCAAATATTTACTTTAATACTTTATTATTAATTCTTTGTGGATATTGATTCTCATTCTCGTGAAATTGAGAATATTTTCCATATAAAATAAGGTTATAAATATTTAAATGTTAGAGTTATACAAGAATGTATATTGTTTTGTAAAAATTTGATGGCTAGATTTTATATGCAAAGTAAGCAATCCTTATAAAGAAAGTATCATTCGTAAGAGCATTGATAGAAAAATGTAAATATGCTAATTTAATGCGAAACAGCAGGAACTGCAGAAAATTAGAGAACAATCTAATCTTTTCATACCAAATATATAAAGAAATTTTATAACAAAATTTTCACAAAATGTAATCATCACAAAATGAAATGAAATCAATTTGATTATTAGTAATTAAACATCGCATTGTATATTAAAACTTAATTTAACTTATTTAATTTCATTTAATTTTAACTATACCTTTGATGTCGATGTAGCGATATTCTATCTATAAAGCATTAAATTTAAGATATCTCCACAATTATATCCGATTTCGATTTACAAATAATCGATGTAGAAATCGCTCGAATGTTATCATTTTTATGAAAACCACGTTTCGATATTGATTACAAAATCTATGATTAAATGTGATCCTGCAAAACCGCAAACTCGCTTATCCGTTATACTGTTCTTTGAAAGGCAACGTTGACCTAAACATTTCAAACTATACAGAAATATGGAGGCAATTAGCCGCGAGAGGTCGTTGTTACTCATCTTGGTTAATTCATGAATCTCTCACTCGCGTCTCCTAACGCACGTGTCGAGTAAGTAATATACGCATGAATCTTCCGCGAAGGTTATGTACCTTCGAACGGGAGAGCATTGACGCAATAACTGGCACGTGAAAGATGAAAAATAACGAAATAGGAAATTGAAAGGTAACGAGAGGAAAAAGGAGGAAGAATAAGATGTGAAAAACAAGTTGTAAGAGGTATATAAGATGGGTATAAAGATTGTTAAAAATTCTGATGGCGTCGTAAAGAGAATCGTGTTATTAGGAATAGCTTGTAAAGCAACAGTTATTGATGATTAAAATAGACACTTGTTCTTGTGTTATAAATATTATACTTATTGCGTGTGCCGAAGAATAAAAAAAATTAATTTAGCTTAATATTGCGATTTTTGCATAATGAATACTTAAACATAACCTCTATTATCAAAGCAATTACAAAAAAAAATACGTTATTAATATTTATCCATATTTATTATAACGCTCAAAGAAATAATAAATTGTCAGAAATAAAAAAATAAAGAGTTACGGTGTACTAGTGTATGATCTAGTGATAATAATAAACTAGGAAAAGACATTGGTGACGACAATGCTGATATTTCAAAGCCGATAGAAATGATCTATGACCTCTGCATATTTATTTTATTTTCGATCGGTCAATTGTCCATTTTCTTCATTCGGTTCTCATAGTATTCGTGTTTTCAGTTGTTCGAAACGGTTAGTGACAGTGCGTGTGCAGTCCACATTACATTTGCGGTTGGCGGTATGTGAAATCAATGGAGGACGACGAGATATAGTTGTATACGGTGAAATTCTGTAATAACACGATACGGTACGTTGCACAATTCACATATCGTGGGATATGCTAAAATATACCGATACATCTTGAAGTTTTTATCGAAAACCGGAAACAATAATCCAATTATTTAACTTTGGACGAGCGGAAAATGATAATTGACTACTTATATAGTATTATCAAGAAAAATGATTTGACAGTTTTGAAATTTTTTTTGACATTTAAATATAATTGATATATGATTCTCGTTAAAATAATTGAACGAAATATGCAAACTATAATTTTGGATAGATATAATATTTTATTATCTCATTACGAAACTATTATATTGAAAAAATATAATGTATAATATAAATACATAAACTATATAAATATTATATTTTTAAAATATAATATTTTGAAGAAAATAAGATAATATGAGATTAAAACGAATATTTGAGTAATAAAATCATTTAACTTTCGATAATGAATTTCTTATATATATACTCAATTATTAATACACAGTATATTTTAAATATTGAACGTTCTGAAAATATATTATTTGAATTCTTTAAATATTTACAAATCGTATGCTTTTTGTTTATTTGCTATTATTAATTTATTTTATTACAGATTTTAAAATTTTTTGCAAAATTGGATAGATGGAACATTTGGATCAATGTTATATTTATAAAACAGTTAAAATATGAAATTTTCGATTATTCGAATATTTCTTACGTACTAGAAACCATATATTCGCGTATAACTAACTCTGGAAGATTGCTTTAGATAAGATAAGATAAGATTTACACTCCTTGTACCGATTCTTACATTTTTTTTTCTTCCTTTTTAAAAACTTAATGTAAGTTGATATTTATTTATGTTTAATTTTTTATTTTTTGCTTATTATAGAATTAATGAGAAAACATCATGTAAAATTTTTTTTCATTAAAAGAAACATCTATCAATACGATATAAAATATATATCGTTTAAATTTTTACGATTTTTAAATAATAAGAATTAACTTCGAAAAATTTTAATTCAATAATTTAATAAAAATAACATAATAATTTTATTATTCACAGGTCTTTCATTTAAATTTCATATTTTTCAATTGATTAGATTGAATCTCTTACATAATCTCTTGATAGACGTATGCCGATTACCAAGCTGAAAAACGATCGAGGTGTTATAATAACATTTTCAGATCTGATTTCATACGAGACAAGCCGTCTGCATATCAACGGATCTCTTCCTGTTAAGTACAGGTCACGGATGAAAGTTGAATGAAGTGAGTGCATCATATACGTGGTATCACGATTTGACTTCATTAAACGACCTTTTTTGCTACTATACGTGAATCGGTTGTAACGAGGTGCGATATGTCTGCTTCCGTGATTCAACTGACCCTGCGACCAATTTAGATGGAACAATGGTTATTAGCTAGTCATACTTTTATTTTTTTCTATTTATCTATAATATAAATTTACTAATTTTAATTTAATGAAAAACCATTTCTTCTACTTTCTCTCATTATCCATGATAGAAATTTTTTAAATGAAAAATCATTTTTTCTTACTTTCTATTTTTTTCTATTATAATATTTTATCTTTTAATCTTTCAATCTTTTACTTTTTTCTTTTTTTATTCATAATATAAAATTTTCTAATTTTTTCAAATAAAAAATTACACCGATAATAGCTGTTTCACTAAATAACTAGAGTCATTTATTTTTGTTTCGAATGAAAGTATTCATAAATATTATACAAAAATACATAGTTTTATTTTCACATGTAAATATTTAAAGAAATTAAATTCTAAACACGTATTCTTACATTCGTGCTATATAAATAAATATATAGGGAATGTTAAGGTCGACTGGTTAATTGAATGTAATCATAAGACGATCTTAAAGTTAAATCGTCACTAGAAGGATAACAGGCTAGATTTTGAGGACATTGTCCCTAGCTTGTAACTCTTAAAGTAATATGGAAATCGAGTTGACCTATATTCCATTACAAAAATTATTCTGATTCATATCTTTGCTTTCAATGCCATTAATAAATCTTATCATTATTTTAATTTGTAAGCATAAGTAATTAAATTTATATAATTATATTACACTAATTTATTTTCTCATATAAATAAAAAGTTATTATTATATCTCATATAAATTAAAAGTAGAAGATAAAATCGTTAAAAAAAATATTATTTTTCTTGTATAAGTGACTTTGTGTTTTCAAATGGAAATAATTAATATATTTTTGAAACCTTGGATCAAGAATCGTAGTGAACAATAAAGAGAGGAAGTCTCTCAATCATTGTGGGGAATTCATTGACATGCTTACATAATGTAATCACGGATTAATTAGAAAAGTGAGTGAATATAGAGGATTCCAGAAGAAACCAGAAAGTTAATACTATTATAATTAATTATTATTATTATTATATTTCAATTTCATCATGTCATGTTATGGCTTAAGAAGATCAACACGCATCATCGAATCATCATTATTTTAAAATAGAAACTATGTTTCAATAGTCAAAAGTAATTGTAATCATTTTTAATTCTCCATATTTGTTATCTGTATAAGAAGAACCATTTGGAACATTTAGAGTTCGCTCTTTATTCTCGGTTGAATGATGTGCACAGCCATTCGAATCTTTTGTTTCACTACGAAATATATGTCACAACCATATATCGCTCTTAATTGCTTTTATTAAACAGCCAATAAGAAAAGTAACTGACCATTTTGATTCTTCTAATGCAAATATATTCAAGTACATATGGTTATAATCATGAAGAATAAATTTTTAAATTACAAAAAATATATATAATTTAAATGCCATTCTACATGTCTAGTTGTTACATTATATATAGAAAACCAGTTTATGTTATGATAAAATTATTTTTTTATTGTATCACAAATAACTTATCAAAGTTAAATGATAATTGTGAAGTTGATAATTAATTCTTTAGACTACTCGTTATATTAAAATAAAATTTTTTTTTATATAAATCAATTATGTATCAAGAGAAACTAAAATTCTTTTGATTCGTATCTTATCTTCTTATATAATTATAAAAGGATAAAATGCAATGACTGTTAAACTTGCGATAGAGAAATTGTCGCGATTATACGATTAACGATATAGAACATTTCAATTTGAATAACTGACTACTTTATTCTTATCAATTTTTCATATTTACTTTATCTACGTTTTATATTAACATAATTTTACAACATATTTTACTTTTATAAAAAATCAAAAGAAAAAAAATGTCACTAACATCATAAACTACGCTTCATTCTGTTTTGATTAAACTAGGGGGAAAAAAATATCAAAGTTAATCGAGATAGGTTATGAATTAATGAATAAATCTGAAAAACGTTAACATCATTCTTCATAATGATTCTATGAAAAAAATATCTAAATTCAAATATTTTTTTTTCTCAGTGCTTTTTAACATTCAGAATTCTTTGTAAATATTAATATTCTTCATATCCAATAATAACATTCCTATAATAAATCCTTTGTCGATTATTCTCCATCGATAATATCCTTTGTAATATATTTTATTCATTATTCTCTGTCGATAACATTCTAATAATATTCTTTATAAATCTTCGTAATATTTTTAAATACTTTTTAACATTCAAAACTAACTTTCAAATCGAATATCCACCATTAAAAGAACGATTTAAAAATTTTCATCTGGCACGATATATTCCACTTGCATAGTTTCTGGATTTTTATCGACTGCGGATGATTAATCGAAAGCGGCGGGCTCGTAACTAGGGGAAGCTCGTTAGAAAAACAAATATTGCTCGTTATTTCCGATTACATCGAGTTGATTGACCTGTTCTGACGTATAGGTCCCGAGGCTGATTTCTGGTGCGTTACGGTTTGCTAATCGTTTCGCACGACCGGCTGCCATCGATACCGCGATACCTGTGTGGTTGAGACACTCTCCCTGTGTGGCCTGCGTCTCTCTTTTTTCCATCTTTCCGTCTCTTTCCCCCTTCTTGCTTATTGCCAGCCCGCATTCCCTCGTACACCGCTTTCCTTTTTCCTCGGTTGTTCCCACTTCTCTTCCCTTTTTTCCTTCTTCGAGCGTACGTACTACCTTGTCCTCGTCGTCGTTGCGCGTCGAGGTGTCGGAATCCCAGCGTATCCTCGAAACATTTTGACGTTAAATCGGTTCAGCCTCTTAAGCTTTTAAATTTATCGTGGATCGATTTTTAACAATTTTTTTTTTTTTTTTGGAATATCGCATAATCGAAAAAAAATTGCTCATCATCTCTGAAATACATATACATATTTGAATTGAATTGTTGAAATTTTTATTTTTTTTTTAAATTTAATAATTAAAATTAAAAATAAATAAAATAATTTTAATAATTAATAATTTAATAATTAATTTTAATAATAAAAAATAAAAAAAATAAATAAATTAATAATTAAAATTATAAATTAAATTTAATACGGATTCGAGTGATTTTCCTTCGAAATGATTATTTTGCACGATCGAAAAATTGGCATTCTTTTTCTCACCATTCTTCAAAAAAGAATTTTAAAATTTTTTTTAATCTTTTGAATTTATCATATACGGATCCATGAACAATTTCTTTTCTTTTTTAGAAAACTCTATCGAAAGATCGACAACAATATTTCATTCTGATGATAAATAAAATAGAAGAAAAATAGTATATATATATATATACATCGGGAATAAATAAAGCGAGAAATATTGCGTGCTTTCTCCTAGTAACTCATTCGCTCGTCTCGAGGACTTGGCAGACTCCCCTTGGGGGGTCCGCGGACCACAGGTTAAGAACTGCCGCTTTAAATGGATATTGCAGATGTTGAATCTACGATTGCGCCCAATATCCGCGCGATAATTATATACAGCTGCGCCTTTGCTAATTTTAATTCTATTACGTTCGAATAATTGCTCTTCTAATGCCATCGCGATGGCTTTACCATGGCCACGTGTAAATCTTGCGAAATAATGGCGCAACGAAGGAAACAATCCTTACTTCCTTCCCCATCAACTTTCTTTAATTACGCGTTTCAAACACATTTCGATTCGATTCTTCGATTCGATTTTTATAATTCATACGGATTATAATCTCGATCTTAGAGATACATTGAGCACTATTTATCAAATTATCCGAAGAATGAGTAAAGCGTTCGATTTAAATTGTTGGTAAAAAAAAAAAAAAAAAAAAAAAAGGAAAAAGATTGCTTCCTGTCCACGATGACATTCAATTTAATAATTATATATAATTTAGAGAAAAAAATTATAATACTAAGGAAAACTAATTGATCACCCGTTTTTAATGATACTAATTCTTTCAATTTGTTTTTTTTTTTTTCCCCTCCTGTTTGCAATTTTCTTGATAAAAATGCATGTACGTCAAACAAAATCAAAACAAATTACACGAATAATTGCATAAAGTTTTAGACGAAATTTCGTCAAGTTTCGAAATTATCGCGCGCGCGCGCGCACACACACACACACAAACTCGTCCTCGCAGGGATTAACATATTCACACTTCGTTCGTTGAGATCATCGAGATCATCGTTGAATGATTCACCATTGGCGCGAGAGACGGGATGATTATCGATGATCGGTGATGAGAGGAGAGGAGAGGGAAAAAAAAGGAGGGGGGAGGGTTGAGTCATCGTCGCCTTCTTCGATTCTCGATTTCGAACGAAGGAGGAAGCTCGCAGCGGGATCCGCGAATCCGACACTTTCGTTCCTTCCCCGTATCGAAAGGTGCACGACCTCGTGAATCGGCTTCTGGAATTGCCTCGCCTCGCCTCGCCTCTCCTTTCCCCCTCCTCCGTATCTAGAAACACGTGGTGAACTGGACCACGAGGCCGTGAATGTACCGTTAGCAGCCGCTGCAACCGGCAAAAAAAGAAAAGTCGAGCCGTGACCAAAGCGGGTGTGTAGCGCTCGTTGCCAGCCGTTCGTCACGACTTCCAATTTCCTGGTCATCCGTACAGTAAACCCCATTGTCGCTTCACCCCGAATCCTTTCATCTCAATCCTTTCTTCAAACGTGCGGGATATTCGATTCGCCACACTTCGTATCCGTGAATTTGAATAGATATCAATGATTTTTAATTTAATAATTTTTTCTTTTTTAAATTCGTAACCACGATTTGAAGAAGATTTGAAGAAGATTCGCGTGATTGAATTTTACGTGAAAAAAGTTCTTGGTAAAATAATAATAATAATAATAATAATAATAAGGAAGAGATACGAATAATCAATATTTAAATGGTAAATAATTGTACGGAACGAGGGATCAAATATTTGAAATAAGTTTATTAATTTCATTTTTTTTTAAATTTAATTAAAAATGAAAATTATGATGAATAAATAATTAGAAATATATATATATATATAAAATATATAAAATAAATAAAGAATTGTTTAATTAGTAATATTTGAGGGATACTTTCCAAAAACTGTTTGATTTTCTTTCTTTGCGCTAATAAAATTTCCAAACGATCGAAACGGGTGTCGTTCCGTTGTTACATTGGTCAAAGAAAAATGTCGTCGAAGATTAAGACGATGCTCGTTAAATAATTTTTTTCCCTTCTTTATCGTGGCCAAGTAACGTTTGTATCTTTCCTTGGATCCAATAGATTATTTGGGCCAACTTCGTATAGTGCGAACGAGACGAACGACCTTGAAGCTCGAACTTAAACGACGTTGCTTTCGTCTTCCGTCCCTCGCGTGTCTCTGTAAATCGCGAAATTCTATAGATATTGGGTCGCATTGGACATCATCTTAAATATCTATTTAGTTTTATAACTAATTAAAGGGAATGTGACATTATACGATACACGAGAAAATAATTTTCCACGGAGTTTGATCCAAAGTGAAAAAAAAAAAGGTGTAATTATTTTACGATTTATTATTCATGACTCGTACGACAATTATACGCGAACGTCTCCGATAAACAATTTCTTATCGGTGGATAATGGAAATTTGCACGATCGTGAACATTCGCGCTTGTTTGTATCGTGATTGTTTGCATAAATAATTAAAAAAAAAGAATAAGGAAGGAATATATAAATTTCGAATAAATTATTATTCTGCCATTGCAACTGGCTCTGTCGATAAATAAATCTTAAAAACTGGATTGGAACGTTTTTCTTTTAAAAAAAAAATGAAAAAAAAAATTGCATTTTACGTAGATTAATGAGAAATCGTAACGTGTAATTGTTGTTGTGTACGTATATACACGCACGGCTTCGAGCGTAATAACGTTTGCTCTTTGAACTCGAAGAAAATTGTGAATGTTTGCCGAGAGACATGCCGTGTCGTGCGTAAGAAAGCAAGAATTGAGAAATATATGAAAGTATGCGAGAACATTACCAAACATTAAGAGAAACCTACCTTGTCGGCTATAATCGTATATATATATATATATTACTCGAGCAAATTTTTATAGCTATTGATATCACTAACATTACTTATTATAATGTACATATATTATATATCACTCGTCGAGCAAATTTCGCGTATAACAATATAAATATATTACATAAATTATTACCAATATATATAATATTTCAGTTCAACACGCATATCATTGAATTCGAGATAAAATTGCCCGAGTTCGAATAATTGAACGAATAATAAAATAAATTATAATAAATATATAAAATATAAATTAAAATAAATAATTAATAATAAAATTAAAATAAATAAATTAAAATAAATATAATTGATCAAAACGCTTAGATTCAAAAAAATATTAAATTTAAAATTGATCTTATATATTATAAAAAAAAAATCAATATAAATATTCTTCTATAATGTATGTACATTTTTCGAATATAATGTAAAATAATCTTTTATCATATACCCATATTTTATATCACGCGTTTCGAAGCGATTCCCCTTCGCGAATCACTTTTTATTTTTTTTCCTTTTTTGATATTTCAATTTTCACAAGAATCGCGAGGAAGCTTGCTCTTTTCCATTATTCATCGTTCGTCCGCTTGGGAAAACGAATATATTTTTTTTTTTCTACGTTTTCGCGTAAAGATGTTACGTCATCGAAGAGGAATCCATCCGAACCACAGCGTTTAATTTTTGAATTATTTCATCAAAATCGTAATATATTTTTTTTCATCGAGAATGAAAATTCGATGTTTCGTCAATATCTTCCGATTAAAAAAGTTTAATAGGCTTATTATTATACGTTGTACGATGAATATTCATCTCATATATTAATATAATATCTTTATACATTCAATAATTCAATATTATTTATATATACATATCTCTTTTAATCCCTTTTCAGATGCTGTCAAAACTGCGGCGTTGCCGAGGTTAAACTATCTGATCGAAATTAAAACAGTAAGTCTTATTCCTGTTAAACGTGAAAATTAAAATTAATAAAAAAATTACCTGAAAAGAAATATTCATGCTCGTCAATTGGAAAATCCGTTATTAGCCATGACCTATCTCCACCCACGCGATAACAAAACCGAGACAGCTTTGCGCGCTACGTGGCTGCTTAAGTTCTATCAACAAGTCGTGTCTGTTTCTAGTTAGGCATATAAATTGTGAGAAGTATGATAATCGCAAGCGATACACGTTGTTGGTTGGACTTTAGATCGATCGCTCGTCGAGCAAATTTTTACGCGATTGATGTCATTAATATCATTAATATTTCCTTGTTAAAAATTTCTTTGTTCGTGTATACGTGTGTAATATAATAATACAAATATTAATTACATAAATTACTAATATATTAATATTTCGGTTCAAAGTACGTATCATTAATTTATCATATCGAATTCGAGGTAAAATTTCTCGCGCTCGAATAATTGAACGAACAATAAAATAGATAAATTAAAGTAAATGTGATTGAATCGAAACGCTTAGATCCGAAAAATATTGAATTTAAAATTAAATCTTATAAGTGTAATATTAAATAAATATAAATAAATCCAAAAATTAATTTAGATTCCTAACCTCAAACGGTGTTCGATTTAATCCAATTGATATTCTTATAAAGAACATTGGATATAAAACCAAAATTACAAATTTAATATTATTTCGATAATCGTTAAATTCTAGAAAAAGTAAAAACATTCGATTAATAATATTAGTCTAAAAAAAGTAAATTATGAATGAAATTATTGTCGATACTAATCGTTGAATAATTGCATAATTACAATTTGAAATTCAACCTGCAAATAAAATTGAGTAGACTCCATATCCTAAAACTATTAATATAAATAATTCAATTCTATAATTCAATGATATATTAACTTAATTCAAGGATATAAAATTCATAATATTAAACATATATAAAAAATATAAATATTTTTTGATGTTTTGGAAATATCTTCTGTTTAGATATTACGATGTGCAAAAATGCGAATTTGATAGAGTTATTTTTAAATATTTATTTTTATTAAAACAACTAGAACAACATTTTTTATAATCTCGTTTGGCGTTATTATTACGTTTCGAGGAATCAATTATCGAAATAATTTCAACTATTAAATTTTGGTTTATATTTGTCGCAAACGAACGAGTAAATAAATTCCGAAGGGATATCGATATTGAGAATGATATTTTTTCAAGAAATGGGAATCACAAATCGATCGTTTAATTTCCATTTTGTTAAGTAATTGTATAATATTTGCAAAAAATAATTCTCGAGAGTGCTTCAACTCTCTCTTTCGACCTAATATTTGCATTATTACTCATCCATTCTAAATCTATATCTACATCGATTTTTTTTTTTATTTAATTCCACGAAAAATCGAAGGATAAATCCATGCACAACTATTCCATATTGAAGATTATTAAAAGAAACGAATCACAAGTTCAATATTTTTTCTCTCGTAGAACAGGAAATCCCTATGACGTATATATATATATATATATATACATTCTCGTGAAATATATCGATAATCTTGCACAAACGAATATTTAAATATCTCGTATAATATAAAGATTATAAATATAAGAAAATCATTAATGCAAAAAAAATTAAAGACACGCTTTCTTTTAATCCCACGTAGAATACCAATCACGTAAATCGATGTCTCTATCTAGCCTCTAGATTCTAGTAGACTAGCCGACGACGAGACCACATTACTTTCGTCGTTATTTACATTTGTATTTGCATATTATTCGCGCGGACGTGACGCCATTCGTTCGACGATTTCTATATATTCACGCTCTCTTGAAGGAAACCTTGTCATTCGTCGTCGTTCGAAGCTTTCACGGAGAAACGCGCAAGCACTGAAACCCTCTTTTTTCTCTCGATCGTAATCACCTAGTTATCCTATGGAAGGAGATGAAGGCAGCTTGCACACCATGAGTTCTTTGTACGCCTTGAAACCGGTCGAATCAAACGCCCTTTGTTTTTCAAGGCAATAATTCGGATAATTGACACCATTGTTCGCCCTTGTTTCGTCCGCATCGATGCAAATACGAATTAATAAAAAAAAACACGACCACGAGATAACCTCAAACATGTCCGCCCGATTCCGCCGACCAATAACTGCCCGATCGACAGGATCGCCATCTGTCTTCCGATTCTTCGCTCCCTCTATCCGCCGAATTTTATTCTCTCAAGCAAGTTGAGAATTCTGGGGAATCGTAGGGAAAAATAGGGAATTATTTTAACCCTATGCGCTCGAATGGTAACTCTTTGCCACCAGTCGGTTCGATGCGGTAATTCGACAATATTTATTTACGTTTTATTTTTTTAAAATATCGCTTCACGAATTCCTAAACTCTTTACGTGTAATCTTGCAAAGCGTGGTATAATATACTATCGAATAATTAGATTTTCTTTATCTCAAATTAAACCGTGATCGCAAATCGAAATATACTAGAAATATTATTTTCAAAGTTTTCGAGTTTCGTAAGCATACGGAATACGGTAATGATATTAGATCGAGCGAAGATGAGTTTGATCATTCGTTATAGAATAACGAAATTATTTTTATTCGTTAAGAAATCGACGATGGAGGAGAGAAGGAAAATAGAGATATAGTATAAGAAGAAATAGAAATGAATGTGAGAACACTTTATGAAACACATTTTATCGCGATACTTGCCCCGACGAACCGAGGATGCAAAATATCACGCAACAATACTTCGACATTCGACAAATTTCCTTTTCATTACACATACATAAAAACATTACATAAGAATACAAAAGATTCGTTAATCAAATCGTTTTTCAAACAAAATCATTTTTCAACTTAATCCAACTTCTTGAAAAAACAGAAATTATGGAATATCCGATCCGATCGAATGTCATATCATATCTTCCTTTCTCTTTCGACAGGTGGGAATCGGATCAGAGAGAGAAAAATGTTAACCACGGTGCTCCCATTGCTGTTGATCATCTCGGCTCGCGCGGGTACGTGCGACGGTTTGTGCGTGTTGGAGAACGGAACGAGGGCACGTTGCCAGGCCCTGGAGGACATCAAATACATCGAAACGTACGATCTCGAGCCGCTCAAGGCCCACGTGAGGGAGCCGATCCTCCGCCCGTCCACGGTCTTCGTCAATTTCACCGGCCTCCGCCACCTCGACCTGTCGGCCGGCTCCCTCGAAAGGATAGAGGCGGGCGCCTTTCTGCCACTGTCCAACCTGAGGAGCTTGAACCTCGCCGAGAATCGTATCCACGACATCGAAACGGGCTCCATGGACGGGCTCGACCGATTGCACACCCTCTCGCTTCGTGGAAATCGTCTTCGACACCTGCCCCCCGAACTTGCCCGGCTCAAGCTCCTGAAACACCTCGACCTCCAGGGCAACCCCCTTCGTTGCGACTGCGCCACCCTCGGCGCCAGGGACCTGTTGGCGAGCAGGGGGGTGAAATTCGGGGGGAACGTGGTGTGCGCCTCCCCTGCCAACTCGAGGGGGATCCCCCTCGGCAAATTGGACGCTGCGATCGTTTGCCGATTCGAGGAGCAGGATCTCCTCGGGATGCAGAACGACCAGGCCGACGAAAGTTTCTACGACAGCTCCGGCGATTCTTCCGGCAAACGCTACGACGAGGAGGAGAAGGAGGAGGAGGAGGAGGAGGGGGGGAGCACGGAGATCGCGGAGACCACGATCCGAGCTGAGAGCGAGACTCCGTTCCGCGAGATCGACGAGCCCCCGCCCCCCGTCTCCACCCCGTTTTTCGAGGAGGTGGAGCCCCCTTCCACCTTCCTGGGGGAGTCCTCGACCGAGGGGGCGAGCGTAGCGAGGGGGATGGAGGGGGGGGCGTCGTCGAGGACCAGCTTCACCAGCGAGAAGATACACGAGGACGGCCTGTTCTATCCAACCGAGGGTTCGGGCACCGTGGACGAGGAGGAGGGGGAGGAGGGCTCGGGGGTGGAGGGTTCGGGAATCGGGGCGACTTCGATCGACCCGTCGAGGGGGAAGGAGGAGGAGGGGGGGTTCTCGTTGTTCGACGGCCTGTACAACATGTTTTGGGGGACGACGGAGGAGATCACGACGAAAGGGGATCCCGATCTGGAGGAGGAGCAGTTCATCTACGCGACGCCGAGCAAGGGGGAGAAACAAGCGGAAGAGGAGGAGGAGGGGGGGGAGGAGGAGGAGGAGGAGGAGGAGGATAAAGCGTCGACGAGCACCACGAGCGCCATCACCACCACCACCACCACCACCACCACAACGACCACCGCCAACTCCATCACCACGGAGATCATCCTCGTCCCGGGCGTCAAGTTCGTCGACGACTCGAGCAAATCGGGGAACGTGAGGATCGAGGAGGGGGAGGGGGACGAGTTGGCCTCGCCTACCAGGCAATCGAAGAAAGGGATGGGCTCGTACGTGGTGCTCGCCGCCCTTTTGGCGATTCTCGCCACTTTGATCGGGTTCGCAGCGTACAAGGGGGGCTTCTGCAGGAGGAGGAGGAAGAGGGGGGACGTGGAGAACGGGACCGAGTTGAAGGACATGCAGAAAGCGTTGCTGGAGACGGCGAACGCGGGGGCGCAGGCGAAGGTTGCCTCGAACGGGAACGTGGAGAGCGCCCCCCTAGTCGTCGACCAGACCGATCAGACCTTCGATCACGACGAGATCAAGGTTTCGAACGATTGCCGGATAGCGGCTGATATATCGAAGAGGAACTCCGTTTCCGAGCCGCCTCGGGCGAAGTCGAGGTCTCCTTCGAGGGGGAGGAGGAGCGGAAGGGACTCGGTGGATGGAAACACGTCGTCGAGAGAGGACGCCGTGGAGGATCGCGTGCAACAGCAACAACCTCCGTTGAGCCCTGGCGCCCAGAGAGTGAAGATCACGGTCCAAGAGAATCCTGACAGCGTGCCAAAGACGCCTATACTCATCACGAGAACGTCGAACGGTGAGAATCTAGTCAAGACGCCTTGAGATCGCCCCTCCCCCCTCCCTCGAGGGAGGAAAACGATGGATCTGGCCGACGGATGGGAAATTCGAAAGGAGGAGAGGGAGGAAGAAAGGTGAAAGAAGATTAAAAAAAAATATATATATATATAAAAAATGAAGAAAAAGAGTTGCGTTCGACGAGCGTGAAGGATTCGCGTCGAATTTGATTGTCGGTAAGATTGATCGAGCGTGTTGCCGCCAGTGTTCCTAAAGAAAAGAAAAAAAAAAGAAAAAAAAAAGAAAAAAAAAAGAATGTTGACACAACGAATTATCGATACTCTTGATCGAATTTTTATGACGATTTATTATTATTAGTTTCTTTTTCTTCTTCTTCTTCTTCTTCTTCTTCTTCTTCTTCTTCTTCTTCTCGTTGTTGTGTTTTGACATCGATTATCCGAGTTTGTGTTCACAAATTTTTCTTGCGCGCCTGATAAACTGCTGGATTGACTCTCTCTATCTTCTTCTTCTTCTTGTTGAACGAAGAGAGTATACACGCGCACATACATATATAATACATGCATATATATACATATACACGTACAGTTTTTTTTACAAACGACTATTCGTTTAGTATTCGGTTACTAAACGGGAGAGGAAGGAGGAGGGATTCTATGAAATGCGATTTCATTGTACATATTTGCGAATAATAGAATATAATAATAATAATAATAATTATTATTATTATTATGCCGTTTGTTATAAGGTTTGTGGATGGAAAACCTATTTGATACTATTACTACTACTACTGCTATTATTACTACCACCACTGCTAATTTTATATTACATATGTATACGCAATATTAGCACACTAGTCAGTCACCTCTTAAGCGGTATCCCTTCTCGAGCGTCGAATGGACGTCCGGTTTTACGATATAAGTTCCATTAGAATCCTCTGAACTCAACCACCATTCTTGTTTCGACGTTTAACGACGCTATAAACGGTGAGAATCCTCGCCTCTATGTATTGTCACAATCATTCTAAACTTGGTTAAACATCCGTCTCCGTAATGTCGTCACGACCGGCTTTTTGTTGCAGTTTTTTTCGAGTCCCGTAGATCGATAACCGCGTCTCGTGACTCTGTTGGACGAGTTTTTTTTCTTTCTTTTTTTTTTTTTTTTTTTTTTTTGAAAGAAGGAGAAGAAAGAAAAGAAAAGAAAAGAAAAGAAAAGAAAAGAAAAGAAAAAAAGGAAATTAATTTATACGAAACATCATATTATAATATATTTATATACAACGAATTCCATTCCAGATTTAATCGTATCCGTCATCCCTTTTCCTCGACGATTGTTCAATCGTCAACGATCGCGCTACGGACGATGAATAAATTTAAGAATTTAAGCTTAGTTTATAGATAGAATCGTTTTAAAAGTAGAAGAACTTGAGAATTTTAAACTTTGAAACATTCGTCGCTTGTTCTATCGAATTGAAATTTTTACGAAATTTCAATCTCGATTTCTGTTATAAATTTTATTATCAAACGATCCTTTTTATATATATATATACAAAATTCCAAGAAGATAAAAGAATAAATAATAATTGTTAGACGCGTCAGAGAATAATGGAAATATATATATAATATATTTCCGTTATTTCTCTCTGCATTCTTCATAATCTTTTTCCATGCCAAATTTCGACAAACTTTTTCCAACACCAAATGTGTATAAAATAATCGAATTTACGATTAATTAATTTTACGGTTAATTAAGTAAGAGGAATAAAAAAAAAAAGAAAAAAAAAAAATATCCCCCTGAATAAAAATTTCTTCCAAAGAGAACGTGAACACGCACATTAATTGTTCGCTATGAACAATTTTGAACAGTTGCGCGTGTTCGCTCTGTTCTTCGATTTGTTCGACAACGAGTGAAATCGTCCTCGTTGATACTGTGATCATCGTTGAAATGATGGAAAAGAAGGGGGAAAGGGAGGGAGGGGGGAGGGGAAATTGTTCGATTCCTTCGTGATATCATCGTACGACACGTTAATATATCCGCCATTTTATCTTGTTCCCTAGATAAATTTTTTTTTTTTTTTTTTTTTTTCCATGCAACATTTATCAAATGTAAACGTTGTTGTTATGTAATAGATACGAATTGTAGCGATCATATATCTCGATATATTTTTCAACCGTTTATATTAATTAATTTTAACAATGGAAATAAAAAAAAAGAAAAAAAATATTAATATTTATAAAAATTTATACGCGTCTCATTTCATCGATCACTCACACTTCTTCTAAGCTTCTTCTTCCACGGATCGTGGATCGTAATTGTGCATCATAATAAGAAGAAAAAAAAAAAAAAAAGAAAAACGAAACGTTTAAAAAAAAAGAGTAAAAAAGAAGAGAAAGATGAAAAAGGAAATAGCGATGAAAATATTTTTCTCGTAATTATTCGCTATTAATTAGGAACGATTAGTTACGATCTATTATCGTAATTTATTTATCGCAATTCGAACGAGTGTATGAAATATTAATTGAAAATGAAAGTAACATTGAAAATTATTATTAGTCGTTGTATCGAGATTAACGGTGCCTGCATACAATGTCCGATTAACGTCGTCGTTTACCACTTAACAAGTTTATATTTTCCGGGATCCGCATTAGAATTCTCTTCGCTTCGTGTGTTACGTATAATGATACGTTTGGATAAATGATACGTTTGTTGTTACACGAATTATTGCCTAGTGGTGGCAAGTAGAGTCTAGAACCGTTTTTCGATCTGATATCTGAAATTGCTTGTAATTGAGTTGGAATTTCCATGTAGTTTGGTTAAAATTTCCGTGTTTTGATCTGATTACGCGAATAAATTATAATAATTAAAAAAAAAAAAAAAAAAAAAAATAGAGAAAAATGCAATGTGAAATGTTTGATATACGCGCGATACAAAAATATTAAATATTTATCAAAGCTGTTATTACAGAATTACATTTTTTTTTCTTCGTGCTCAAACTAACCTCACAATAACGATTACGATGATTTTGAAAAACTATTAAATTTATTAAAAATATAAAATTGTCAACAACAATCTTAAAAAAAATTTAAGTCTCACTAATAACGAATTAATCAGTAGAGAAATCCGACTCTATTATGGATTCTCCGAAACGATTTCTCGGCTCTCTTGGAAACTCCTTGATCCATTTATTCAAATCGACTATTTTCGAGTATTCATCATCGGTCGAATCGTTGTCTGTGTACACTGTGGACTTTTGCCTTCTTTTTCTTGTTCTCGGTGTTTGCGGTTTGGCTCGAATTCTTCCGCTTCCTGATTCCATTGAATCGCTTATCACGCTCTGCCTTCTCGCCCTACGCGTTGCATACACTCTGGAATTTCTTTGACTCGATGGTAAACTAGTCTCGTTGTTATCGACCGAGTTGTTCCTTTCCCTCCTGAGTCTCTCCTGCCGCCGCTCTTCCCTCCTCAGTAAATCGTTCTCGCTTTGAATTCTCTTCGATCTCCTCCCTCTTCTCTGTTTGCTCCTAATGTTATCGACGGAACCCACGGAACATGTTCTTGCCGAAATATTGTCCAAATTATCCAAAGATTGAGTCAATCTCGGCATCTGTACCGCTTCTTCGTAACTGGGTGGTTCTATCAATTCGAGGGGATTGATTCTTGGTTCTGGTCGATGTTCAACGATTTCTTGTACCGTTGTAACTTGTGTTTGATTCCTGTCAAAAATGAGATTCTTTTGAATAATTTGTATCGTAGATTAATTACCTATTGAGATAAAGCAGATTCATTCATCATATATAGATAATATAGGAATCTGTCTTCATAATATGATAATATAGGAATCTGGAATAAATCGATCTGTTACGTATGCACGTAACATTTTCGCACGAGAAAAACCGTGAAAAACCATTGTTAATAGAAATTATTTCTTACCTCGTTTGTCTCAATAAACTAAGGTTTTCCAATCGTCGTCTTTGTTCGATAGCCCTCCTCCTTATCTTCATCATGTGTCTAATGGACACGAAGCTACCGAATAGAATGGTGAGCGAGAGAATAACGATTATCGCGAATCCCCATGATCTGTCCTTGTTGTAATCAAGCGGTTTGTGCCATTCGTCGAAACAAGCGATCAGCCAACTATAACCGGACACGTTCGACGGACTTTGACAAATTAAAATTTGTTTAAAAATTTTCGGTGGTTCCGTTAAATAATTATACATAGCGAACAATTTATCGCAATCGCAATGCCATGGATTATCCTCCAAATATATAATATCCAAATTTGGATTGTTTCGAAATATTTCTGGATCTGCCACCTCCGTCAATCGATTTCCTAAATATTTATATACACACATACACACATAAATATATAAACGTTAGAATTATTAAATTCGGTCGGAATTAAAATTAACAAATTGAAAAAAGAAAAAACAATTAACCTGACAGATCGATGCTTCTAAGCTGCGGCAATTGGAGAAAAGTGTCATTCGCCAATTCGACTATCCTGTTCGCCCTCAGATCGAAATTCCTCAACGTCGTCGATTTCAATCCGAACGGGATCTTTTGTATACGGTTATCGCTCAAATCGATGCTCTTCAGTCTCGGCATATTGACGAATAAATTCTCGTTCAAACGGTTGATCAGATTCGACGACGCGTCCAACGTTATCACGGCCGAGGTGAACTTCGGTAATTCGTAGAAAGCGTTATAGGACAAATTCAACGTTTTCAACTCGATATTCTCGTGGAACGTGTACGGGTGAATTTTCTCCAGATTGTTGGCCGACAGATCCAACGTTTGAAGCTTCACCAGCCCCTCGAACGTGCCCGCGGTCAACGTTTCGAGCCTGTTCCCGCTCAAATACAGGAAACCCAGTTGCCTGTTCCTCGCGAATATACGATCGGGAAGTATTCGTATCGCGTTACGTGCCAATCGGGCGTGAGTCAACAAGGGGAATCCGTGGAGGCCCGGCCTGTCCAAATTACACCTCGACGCGTCCAGCTTCCTCAATTTCGGATGCGTCAACGTCGAATTCCTGAAATTTAATAATCGTCATCGATCTCATTTCATATTTCGAAATCTTCCCAAAAAGTATAGTAAATAAGTAAAGTAAATAATTTTATAATTTTTAATTAATCTCTTATAATTTCTCAATTATTGGGTTTCTTGCCTCGTGCTGTAGACCAAAGTTGGATTGTTGGAAAGCAGAAGCTCGTCAAGCTCTGGAAATCCGTAGAGGGTATCGGGTCCCAAGTAGTTTAACTGGCAGTCGGACACGTCCAGCCACTTTAATTTCGGGCTCCAC